CCATGATGTTTAGCTTCTGGATAAGCAGCGTAACATTGACAGAATCAAACGCTTTTGCTAAGTCGAGATAAATTGCGTTCGTTTGAATGTGTTTGTCCATCTTCGTTAATACACACGATGTAAATTCGGCCAAATTTGTTATTGTAGACTTTCCTTTCACAAATCCATGCTGGCTATCATCAAGTATACTTTAAATGTGGAAGTTAAGATGACTTGAAACGATGGAATCCAAAATCTTCGAAATTACACACTGCAAAGCAACACCACGATAGTTATCAATTTTTGCTTTGATTCCACTTTTGTGTATTGGCCGTACATAAGATCGCTTCCAAATGTCTGGTACAAAGCCGGTCTTTAATGATTCACTCAATATGTGAGTAATCGGCTTTACCAACGTGTGAATGCATTTTTTGATGAAAATGTTTGGTATTCCGTCTGGCCCAGATACTGTGTTATTTGGAAGGATGTTTACTGTCTCCAAAATTAGGTCGTCAGTGATTTCAATCGTTGGAATATTGATGCATAAATCACGGAGAAGCGATTCACAGTCCTTGTAACTGTCAGTTTGAACATCATTTTGTTTGGTGTACGCTTTTTCAAAATGTTTGGCAAATGTATCGGCAATATCTTGTTGACAGTTCAACTTAACGCCATTATATTCCATTTCACTGGGTAAATCATCATGAGTTTTTCGGACGCAATTGACATATTCGAAAAATTTCGTTGGATCTTTATCAATTAGCTGCTCCATTTCCAACTTGTAATTCTTGAAGGCTAATCGAGCGCATGACTTATATTGTCTTCTCAAATCAGCATGCTTCACAATTGCTTCAGTTGAAGAACATGACTTTTTCCGTCTTTGCAGTGTGTCGACACGATTCTTTATGTTTATGAGTTCGCTGGTGAACCATTTTGGATGGTTTGAAATCGTTTCCGTTTTCAGCTCGACATTCTCTGAAACAACGGAATTGATGATATTATAGAACTGGTTAATATCTGTATCCAAGTTTGTTCCAGTGAGAACATCATCCCAATTTACAGTGAATAGTTTCTCATTAATGGTATCATAATCAGCGCCCATGAAATTGCGGTACTCAATTTGAGATGTGACTTTGTTTTGCTTCATTTCCAAACCGTGGATTTTTATCGAATAAGAAATGTGATGTGATTCATGATTCAATAAATGATGTTCGGCAGGCTGACATGAAACGATGTCTACACAGTTTGTCCAAATTAAGTCGAGCATATTTCCATTATCATTGCTGTGCTTGTTGATTTGATGCAATCCCAATTCATGACATGTATCGAGAATGATCAATTCTTTCTTTCCTGATGCATTAATTGGAATCGCAATTTCTGGATCATCGTTGTCATCAGTGAACCAGGATAAATTAGGTAAATTGAAGTCACCTGAAAGGATGAGAACATCTTCAGTTTGCATTTTTGCAGTGATTTCCCGTAGTGCTCCCATATTTGCTTCGTAGACTTCAACTGGAGAATCCGGTCTGAGGTAGGCCTCGACTAAGAAAATATTTCTGTTGTTCAATATTATCTTGGCCCATATTTGTTCAGCGCCGAATGATGCTCCTGTACCGACGAGTTGTGATTTGATTGATTTTTCGATGGCAATCAGAACACCGCCGCCTCGTTTCTTTTTAGTCTTTTGCCACAATTCAGTTTCCTCGGAACGATCACAACGGTAAACGTTGAAATTTGGGGGGAATACCTCCGAAGAATTGACCGAATCGTCGAGTTTATCCTCACATATCATGTAAATTTTTGCGTTATTTGTTAGTACATCAGCATTGAATTGAGGCAATCTGCTTTTCAGGCCATTACAATTTTGCGAATGCACTAAGCAATATGGAATTCCTTGATTTCGAGTCTGTTGATG